GTGACATCATTGAGTGGTCCTGGTGGTGCTGGGTTGACAGTTGGACTTGATGACCTTAGAGGACTTTTCCAACCTCAATGGTTCCATGACCTTTAAAGGTCCCTTCCCAGCCAAACTGTTCTGTGATTTGATGATTTTTGATATTTCAGTGGCTGCTGCCAGAGGAAGGTTTATGTCTCTGAGGGGGGAAGTGGAGAGCTGTTCCTGTTGTCACCAAACAGATAAAGGACAAGGGAAGGGGGGGACAAGCAAAAATTTCTGAAGCCAAGTCCTTTGTGTGAACCCAGATGAAGAGGGAAGCTCAGCAGGGGAGTGTTTGCTCCAGGCACCCCTGACTTTCACCTGCAGGATTGTATATATGCCTTTTCATCAGCTTTTGAAGACAGCCTGTGGCTTAGACTGCTGAGGGCCAAGCTGGCTGAGGAGAAGGCACAGAGAGTGGTAGGCAGGGGTGAGAAGAGGCCAGTCTACAGTGCTGTGATCCCCTGTGCTTCAAGAGAGGAGAAACCTTGTGCTGGGAAGGCCTGAAGTTGTCAGTCTGGTTCACCCATCTCTCCATCAGATGATGGCATTGGGTGTATGAGGTGATGGTGCTGTACCTGTAGATGTGGCACTGAGGGACATCCTTAGTGATGACCTGGCAGTGCTGGGCTACTGGTTGGACCTGATGATCTTAAAGATCTCTTCCAACCTAAGAATTCCATGGTTCTCTCTTCTTTGTCTTCTGGGAGCAGCCCATGGGTGCCTGCTGGGGAAGCTGGTGTAGCCCTGGAAGATGTCTTTGTACACTGGAGCCAGACCCCTGAGTCTTTGGTGGCAGTGAGGTCTGTGGAGGGACCTGCTTGCCAGGACAAACAGGGCTCATCTCCATGAAGTGTTTTATTGGAAATACTGCCTCAGGGTCGACCAGGCAGAGAAGCATTTTCAAAGCCTGGTGGGGCACTGGAGAGGGGAAAGAGGATTTAAGCTTATTAGAGACTGGGGAGGCTTTTGGAATAACTAAAGGCTAAGCAGGAAGAGTGGACTCTGAATCCAGATAGAATCCAATTTCTGGCTCTTAGGGAAAGGTTGTGAAAGTTTCTAAACTGGAACAAGGGAGAAACCTGATAGGTTTGGAAGGACACGGAGCTCAGAGTGATGCATGCTGTGGAAAGGGAACCATCAACATGCTTTATCCTCAACACCAGTAGGATGGAAGCTCATGAAGTTCAGAAGGGAAACTGCAGAGAGGAGAACTCAGCAGTAAATCCCTGTCTGAGCACAGCGTGTGGAACCCAGCCACCAGAGGAAGACCTGGAGCAGCCAGAGCAGCACAGAAGCTGTCAGAACTGTGCTGGCTGGCTGGAATGAACTTGTTAGTGTGCTGGGATGTCTATCAACCTGCTGAGCCCGGGGGTGAGGAGCATACAGGAGAGGCAGAGTGGACTCCCCAGGAGTCACAGGGGGCTCTAGGGGTAGAGGGCTGAGTGTCAGGTGAGGTCAGTTCACTGCAGTGTGGAAACCAGACAGGTTTGGGTGCCTGGTGAGGAGAGGGTGGTCTGAGACCTGGCTGTGAAGCTGGGAGGCTGTAGGGGCTGCAGGAGCAGAAGGTGTGGTAACAGTGAGGGGTTCCAGCTCCCCCCACTGACAGGATGTGTCCCACAGGGAGGCACAGCACGTGGGGTGCTGGGAATCCTGGATGCAGTGAGCCAGGGAGAGGAGGAATAAGTCTTCATATACCCCTGGGGGCTCTGAGAAACACAACAGTTGTAAAATCACTTTGTAATAGTAACCATAATGTACTCAGATTTAACATCCTCACAGGAGCACAAAAGACATAAACAGCATTACCATGGGCTTGGAGTTTGTTTTTCTAACATTTAGGGCTGGAACTACATAAATATGAGGAGGCTTGTTGGGAAGTGAGTGGTGCTGGGGCAGGGTGAGAAGCTCACAGCTGGCCTGGAAACAGTTTAGTGGCTGATGGTAAATGCAGAGCTTATATTACAAGGATTTTTAAAAAATCCTAATGTAGAAAACTGGCTTGGTTAAAAGCAAATAATCCATTACAGGTGAAAGTACATCCTCCCAAAAGGGAAGCTGTGTCCAGCTCTGGAAAAAGGATATAGTGGGGAGTTAGTCTGTGAGATGGGACAGAGGGATTTTTGAGAAGCAGTTTGCTAAAGGCAAAGCCACTGAGCTGGACAGAATAAAGGAGCCTCTCTGAGAGCACAGGGGTGCTAAGGGAGGATGGGGCATGGTGAAATCCAGCTGGACTGGGCCTGGAGATTCCCCAGCAGTGTCTTTCTTCTCAGGGAGATGGTCTGAGGAGCTGTCTCAAACTGGAGCATCTGTGGAGCAAATGCTGTGGAGTCAGTAGAGTCATTGGGAGGAGCAGCTGGTGTTCACCCACTGAGGGGCTTAAAGGAGCCAAAATGTGGAAGTGCTGACCTGGTCAGCTTGAAACCAGTGGGCAGTGGTGAGTGGGCACCAGTTCCTGAGCAGGGTCAGTGAGCCAGCAAACCTGGCTGCTGCAGAGGGCAGGCTGGAGGGCTTCTGGTGTGGCAGCAGTTCAGGGCCACCTCTCCAGAGACTCAGGGCCACCTCTCCAGAGTCTCAGGGCCACCTCTCCAGCCAGGCCCCTCGGCCATCACCCAGCAGGGCAGAGGAGGGGACTGGGCTCTGGGGCAGGGCCAGGGCTGCTGGAGCAGTGGCAGGGCTGGGGAATGGCCAATTGCCCCATGTGGGGTACGTGCAGTCCTGAGGGACCAGGGGCCTTAGCAAGGAGTGTTGAAAAGAAGCTCTTGGGGGGTAGCAGAGAAGGGTTCTGTCATTAATTAGTAACTGTTTAGAGAAAAAAAATCCATGCAAGGGAAGGAGTGGCCAGTTCAGCCTCCTGCTGTTGCACTGCTGAGCCACGGGGCTGCCCCCACACATGGAGTGAGAGGGGAGGTGAGTTCTGAGCGTGGAGAGCTGGGAATGCACAGCCCCTCAGGCTAGGGAAAGGCAGGAGGATTCCATGGTGTTCCCTGGTCAAATGCAGCTTGCCCACCTCATGTGCACACCTTGATGGGCTTCAGGTCAGCATTTACATCTCAGGGGAGCTTCAGAGCCCTGTGTGCTGGAGATGCTCAGGAACCAGTGGGTGCAAAGCAGGGGGCTCTGCATGGAGCAATTCAGGGCATGGACAAGTTCTCATTGTCCTGTAACTCTTGTCTTCACCTCCCCTAGACTGCTGGGGCAAGGATTGTTTTCCTTGTAAGGAACTGTGATGAATCAAGTAAGGCTGAATTTGGGAAGGTTGACGTGTGGCATTTCTTCAAAAGAAAGTTCTGATCAATGAGTGTAAGACCCCCAGAGCAATAACAGCTGCCAGGGTCATGGTGGGCACAGGGGGCTGTGCTTGGAGCTCAGGAACTGCCAGGAAGCTCCAGCTGGAGCTGGGAGGTGAGGAGAGCTGAGGCCAGCAGAGCACACTGCCAGCCAGGCCCTGTGTAGCACTGGGGTGAGCCCCCCAGACCCACAGCTCCGGGGTGCCTCGGGGGCAAGCCCAGAGGAAGAGCAGGCCAGGGGGCAGTCAGTCAGGTGGAGGAAGAGCTGCAGGTCCCCTCACAGAGGAGCTGTGGATGCCAAGGACAGGTGGGTGGGATCAGGTGAAAGATCCTGTCCTGGTGCCACCCTGGGCACTGTGTTCATGCCCTGCCCTGCTCCACACCCCTGGGCTCACATGGTGACACAGGAGCTTCCCTGGGTCCCTTGGGTGATTTCCAGCAATCCAGAACCTGGCACTCAAGAACTGAGCTGAGATTCCCAAAGACCTCCAGTGATCCTGTGCTGCCTTCCCTGAACACCAGCAGGAGACACTGCCAGAGGTATGAACCGTGCTGTGGCTGGGGAGGTGGGAGACAGAGCCCAGAGCAGGGGGTCACCTTCCAGTTCAGGAGGTGCTGTTAAGATTTCTTCTTGATTTTCTGGTCAGAGGTTCAGAAATCTAACTAATTTTTACTGAGAAAGGGGGGAATAAAGGTAGAAAAGCTCAGCCTAGGTTCCATCACACACTCACAGGTCCTGCTGCAGAGGGGGCAGAGGTGTGGGAGGTACCAGGTCATGTCCAGAGCTCTTCTCTGCATGGTGTTTTCCTTCATGATTGAGGCTAGAGGAAAAAAAATCTTCCTGTGTATTGGAAGGTGGCTCTGTGGAAGGCAGGGTGTTCTCTCTGCACTGCAGAAACATCATATTATTGTGGGAGTCTTTTATATTAGTCTTGGAGTTGGCTCGTGTCTGAAGTTACAAAAAGTCATAGACCTTGTGTGATTATTAGAAGTGAGATATCTGTTGGGTTTGAGTCCTGTGGAATGGCACAGTTCTGGTGTGGAGAGGTAAAGGATGACCATGGATTTGCAGAGAGTGTTCTGTAGGGTTTTTAGTGGTGTTATTAATTGAGTTGGCTCTTGTTGAAATAAATTTTCTTCCTGCTTTTGAGGCAAGGAGAAAAAAACAAAAACCAACCTAGCTGGGGGTCACACCAGCCACGTTTGGGATCTCTCCAGAGCAGGAGACTCCACAGCCTCTCTGGGCAGCTGCTCCAGGCTCTGCACCCTCCCCCCAAAGAAGTTTCTCCTCCTGCTCAGGTGGCACCTCCTGGGTTCCAGTTGGTGCCCGTTGCCCCTTGGCCTGTCCCTGGGCACCACTGAGCAGAGTCTGGCCCCAGCCTCTTGCCCCCCGGGGCCCTTTAGCTCTTGCTCAGCACTGCTCAGATCCCCTCTGAGGCTTCTCTTCTCCAGCTCAGCAGCCCCAGGGCTCTCAGCCTGGCCTGGCACAGAGATGCTCCAGCCAAGAGAAGGTGCTCAAACTGTGAAGGAGGTTTTTATTTTTAATCTGTATCACTTGATAACAAATGAGAACTTCTTTAGGAAACACAGGTAGGAGCTAGCACTGGGTGGGATGTTTGATGTTCAGAGCTGCTGCTCTGCACATGGAACCACTGAGCTGCTCGAGCTCCCCTGGCAGAGCCTTTAAACAATTAGTGGGGTAAAATAAATCATGTTGACTCTAGGGTCATATGTATTAAGGAAACCATGAAAATACCATTGAACTGGGCTGAATTTCACAGCACTGCTGAACTGCTCCTGGTCACAGGAACCTCTGGGTGACATCAGTTGGGTGCTTTTGAAGGACTTCTCTCTACAGATGGACAGCAGCTAGAATATGAAATTAAAGCACTCATCTGACAATGAGCTGAGGAAATGAGGTTTTTTAAAAATATTAAATAATAGCTGGATTAATTTTGGTGATGTAGCATGTGTGTAGGCACAGTAGGTTGGGAGGGGGTGATTTTCCCCTTCTGCTCTGCTCTTGTGGGACCATATCTGGAGTGCTGTGTCCAGCTCTGGAGCCCACAGGACAAGAGGGGAATGACCCTGTTGGAGCAGGGTCAGAGGCGACCACAAGGATGGTGTGAGGGCTGGAACCCCTCTGCTGGGAGGCCAGCAGGAGAGAGTTGGGCTGGGGCAGCCTGGAGAAGGGAAGGCTCTGGGGAGACCTTCTGGTGGCCTTCCAATATCTGAAAGGGGGCCTATAAGAAATCTGGGGAGGGACCTCTTAAAAGGGGCTGTAGTGATAGGACAAGGAGTGATGGGCTCAAACTGGAGGAGTGTAGACTTAGCTGAGAAATTAGGAAGAAGTTCTTCACTCTGAGGGTGGTGAGCCCCTGGCCCAGGTTGCCCAGGGGAGCTGTGGATGCTCCATCCCTGGAGGTGTTCAAGACCAGGTAGGACAGGGCTCTGAGCAACCTGCTCTAGTGGGAGGTGTCCCTGCCTGTGGCAGGGGGCTGGAGGTGATTTTTAAGGTCCCTTCCACCCCAAACCATCCTGTGGTTCTCTGCAGCCAGCCTCTCATCCCCTGCTGCAGTTCTCCTCCATCCTGGGGGTGGCCAGGCTGGTGTGATGTCTGCACCTCACTGCTGGCTCTCAGTGGGGAACTCAACCCACAGGAACCTCAGTCTCTTGGCAGAACTGACAGGCCCCAAAACTGCTTTTCTGTGTTGACTTTTGGTTATTGTTTTACATGTCTGCACTTTGATAGCTGAGACTTTGTCTAATTATACTCTTAATTCTAAACCCATTATTACCTTTTCTGATCATAACTGTGACCTAGTTCTGCTAAAAGCACCACCTGGAAGAGCAAGAAACAAGGTCAGGAAAAGAACAAATTTCATTAGCTGTCTAATATAATTTTGTATCTTGATTGAAATGAGCAAAATGATTGAAACCATGCCCTATAGCATTTTAAAAAACAAAACAAAGTAAAACAAAAGAAGAAATTAGATTTCCAGAAGTTTACAGACATTATTGACATGCTGAAGCTCAAAAGACTGGCTGTGAATGCTCATGCATAGTGCCTGCTCCTTTGTGTGGAGTTTTGACTTAGATCTAATCTCTCTAAATTCTAGACCTCTTGATTTTTATTTTTTTTTTAAAAAAGGTCATTTTTAACTCAACTCCTGTAGCAGAAAGAATAATTTTTCAGAAACATTACAGAAACCTGCTAAAATATGCATTCTTCAAATGAATCTTTCATTAGAGTTAATTTCAGTCGTGCAGTGGTTTCTGTTAAAAGGTTTTAAGTGTATTGCTGGTGACTGGGCCTCACTTTCAGAACTCAGAGCTCGGTGCAGTGGGAGGGCAGCTGAGCTGTGATGTAAAATACACCCACGTGGTGCCACAGCAGCAGTGTCCCCTCGTGGAGATGACCCTTCTTTCTCACGTGGGTTTTTCCCCCCTTAGTCTGCAGGAAGGGTGATCCTCCACCTCCTCCTCTTTCTAGCCTGAAGAAGGGAAGATTTTCTTGAGAGTTTTCATTTCACCTTTAGTTGCTCTGGTTCTGTCCTTCCAGATATCCAAACACAGCCTGTGAACTGCTGACCTCGGATGTGCCACAGATCAACGACAAGCTGGGAGGGGATGAAACTCTGCTGAATATCCTCTATGACTTCTTGGATCACGAGCCTCCTCTGAACCCTTTGCTTGCCAGTTTCTTCAGTAAGACTATTGGGAATCTCATTGCAAGAAAAACGGAACAGGTAGTGATTAGATTTGTCCTGCTGTGTAAGCACCAATGAACTGGCTAACGCTGTGTGTTGTCTGCCGTGGCACTGCTGCCCTGGGCTCTCCTTGTGTTCCTAGAGTTGAGATGTAGTCTCTGAGAAGTTCTTCAGGCTCCCCAGCTGAGGGAGGTGCTGGCTTGTCTAGCCACCTCTGTGTAGTTTTGGCCCCAGCTCTGCAGTAGCTGGGATGTTCCTGTGCCACAGCTGGAGCTTTGTTTTTCATACTAAGGCGTTTTGATGCATCCTTTGGTCACTGCCTGGGATCTTCTCCTTACATAAACAGTGCCTCAGTCTCATGCCTATAAAAGGGGTGCTGGAAACAGGAGCTGAATGGTGTCTTAGGAATACACACATTCCAATTCAGAATTGATCTTACAAGTGAAGGCTGTCAGAGAGCTTTAGGGGAATGGAAAATTCTCCAGCTTCAGCAGCTTCTGGCTACTCTTATTTCTGAGGGTTTGCCTTTCTCTGTGGCACAGAAGAGGGAATGGCTGGAGAGACTGGATGCAGTGTTGCCTCCAAACAGGGACGTTCTGCTCCCCTCCTTCTCTGGAGGGTTTCTCAGCCGAGCAGCCGTCTTGCACCCGGCTTGGCTGGTCTGCACAAGAAGGTGAAGCCCACGAGCTCTGTGTGCCGTGGCCCTGCGCTGTGCTGGCGACCGATGGTGACCCTTCTCCTTTTAGGTGATTGCATTTCTGAGGAAGAAGGAGCAGTTCCTTGGCCTGGTGCTGAAGCACATCGACACGTCGGCGATGATGGACCTGCTGCTGCGCCTCATCAGCTGCGTGGAGCCCGCGGCCCTGCGCCAGGACGTGCTCAACGTGAGAGCTCTGCCCCTCCCTGCAGGGGCTGGGGACCAGGGCTGGGCTGCCCCTGCCTTCAGGGAGTAGGATCCGTTCTGGCATTTGGGATGAGAGTGGATCCCCCCCCTTCTGGAAACTCTCGGGTTTAGTGCTGGCGTCTGCGCGGTGGTTCCTGGGGGTGCTTCAGCCTGCCTGTGGCTCCCTCAGCAGAAGCAGCCTGCTTTGCTCCCTGGCAGCAGGGGGTTCTCAGCTCACTTCTCCATGCAGCAACCACCGTGTGCTGGGCAGGGCTTGCTGTGCAGCTTTCACAAAGCAAGTGTCATCTTTCCCATGTTCCAAATATTAGACTGATCGTTTGGGACAGGAACTTGTCAGTTCCTCCCTGTGTGCAGGGGGGTGTGTGATTTCTGTAGATGGTATCTTGTGCCTCCTCCTTCCTCTTCCTCTTTAACAGGCAACCTTGTAAAATATCTTATTGAGATGCTTTGCAGGTAGGACAAGTTTTACTCCCTTGGTAGCCCAGCCCAAGTGAGGCTGCCTCATCTCCCTTCAGTGGGCAGATGTGCAGGACTGAAGGGAAAACCTGCTCTAGGTCCCTCTCAGTAAACCAGAGGAGCATGTGCCACGTAGACAACTGCATGACAGTGACAAATGAGTCACTGAAGCCCACACCAGGACTTCCATGTTTGGCAGATTTTGCTGCCTGTGTCTGGAGCATTGACCACAGCACAGCTGAGCAGGGGAATGTTCTCTGATCCTTGCAGACCTCTACAGGTGATCAAGCATGAGAGGAAGCCTTCATTTTATGGCAGGAAAGTCAGCAGTTCAGGTGGTTAGACATCAAATAGTAATACCCAGAAAGGAAATGAGAGGAAAAAGCTTTCAAGAGATGGATTGATAGAGGTGGATGGTGGAAGATGTGCTGGAAGAAGAGAGGCCTGGAACATCCCTCTCCTATGAGGCCAAGCTGAGAGAGTTGGGGTTGTTCAGCCTGGAGGAGAGAAGGCTCCAGAGAGACCTTCTTGTGGCCTTTCAGTACTTCAGGGGGCCTGTCAGAAAGGTGGGGAGGGACTTTTTAGCTGGGCCTGTTGTGACAGGACAAGGGGGGATGGTTTGGAACTTAAAGAGGGAGATTTAGACTAGAGAGAAGGAACAATTTTTTGACCCTGAGTGTGGTGCTCCCCTGGCCCAGGCTGCCCAGAGAGGTGGTCACTGCCCCATCCCTGGCACCATCCCAGGGGAGGTTGGCCGGGGCTCTGAGCACCCTGCTCTAGTTGGGGCTGTCCCTGCTCCCTGCAGGGCTGAACTACATGACCTGGAAAGGTCCCTTCCCACCCAAACCAGTCTGTGTTTCTGTGATAAGAAAGCAGCTTTGCAGAAAAGATCCAACCACATCCAGGTCACTGTGGCCTGAGGGCAGCCAGAGGGTTGAGGGCAGGGTTTGCTCCTCTCTGCCCAGCAGTGGTGAAACTTCTCAAGATGCTGGGGCCAGACTGGGGCTCACCAGCACAGGACAGGCATTGCAGTTGTGCACCCTCCTGTTACCAAGATAAATGCAATTATTTTTCCTTCTGATGTTAAAGTGACATGTGGACAGTCCTGGTTTTCCTGGATGGATGGCTTCTGTCCAGCAACCTGCCAAATGTCCAGGTTCCCAAATATCAAACCACCCATGACTTCTTGTGCAGCAAGAGAGCTCAGATTTGGGTTTATATTTTTAATATCAGGACAGATGAGTGGCATCAAAGAAGTCTGTGCTGTCTGTGTGTCATTGGTATAAAATCTCACCCAGGAGAGTGTGCAGAGGCCCAGCCCCTGTGAGGAGACTGTGTCTGGTTGTGCTGCAGCTGCTGGGAGCTCATGTGGAGCAGGTCCTGGGCTGCAGATGTCTCTCCTGCACTTCATCTTCTCACACATGCCTTAGTGACACGAAACACAGCTTCTGTTGTGTGATCCTCGTGGAGGAGGGTTAGCCTGTCCTCCTGAGTCAGGTCTGGAGGAGAGAACCCATTCCAGCTCCCCTGGAGCCCAGTGGGTCCCTGGGATCTCACCCCAAACCCCTCTGAGCTGCTAAGTGGGTTCCACCATTCCTCATACCTCAGTTTCCTTGGTGACTGGGGGAATGTGGTCCCTGTTATTCTGAAGAGAAATCTGCTTGTCCTGGCTGGATCCATCTCTTCCACTGGGTGCTGCTGAAGGTGCCCAGGCACTGACCATGGCTCCCACAGAACCCCTCAGGAGCTCAGCACCTCCATGGCTGAACTGATCTTCCAGTCCTCACTGCTTGTCACCAGGGTATTGTGTACCCTTTGTCAGGGTCTAGCATGGACAGTGATCACAGCACAGAGGAAACCCTACTGCACCTTGTCCCACTTGTTTCTGGTGCTTTCATGGGTAACACACTACAAGAACAAACAGGGCATGTTCTTCCTGCCTTCTGTACCCTAAGGAAGTGGTGTCTGCTAGGGCTGGTGTCTGCCAGGGCAGCACAGTGCCTTGATGAGAGGCCTTCTGCTGTGGATGAGGAGGATTGTCTCCACCAAGGAGGAGCAGAGGCACTCCCTGCTGCCTGGGGCCTGGTTGACCATGTCCTCTCAGGAGCTCCAGGGGTTGAGGCCTCCCACGTGCCCCAGTTGGTGGTGGGGACTGTGCCCTCTTGCATGTGATCTTGCAGCCTCAATCAGCACCTCCACCCCCCCCTCCCATGCCCACTGCCTCATTAGCTGCCAAGTCCTGGGTTGCCTGGACCAGTTTGAGATGTCCCACTTGTCGTGTGGTGCCTGAGCATGTGTGACACAGGTGCTGCCCAGCAGCAGTCGGGCAGAAGCCCAACACTCCCTGGTCAGGAGGCAGCAAACAAGAGCCTGCTTGGTTTGCAGACATCAACCACCTCCTGCTTGCTGGGCTGTGACCTGCAGGCTTCAGGCTTCCTTTTCCTGCAGGTTTTCTGTCTGTGAATTCCTGGGAAGTGTCACCTGTCAGGGAGAGTCCCCATGGGGCTGGGTGCCTTGTGGCCAGAAGTTTGTGTTTTGGTGTCAGTCTTTAGGGGAGACTTTTCAAGGCCAGGCTGGATGGGGCTTTGAGCAACCTGTTCTGGGGGGAGGTGTCCCTGTGTGTGGCAGGGGGTTGGAACTGGATGATCTTTCAGGTCCCTCCTGACCCAGACCATTCTGTGAGGTGCTGTGGGTAGCACTGCTGTACCTCAGGTGGAAGTGCTGCCCGTGCCCCAGCTTTCTGTCAAGGGGTCAGTACAGAGTGGTCCTTTCTTGGGAATGCCAAAGTCCATCTCTTCCACAGCAGCCTCCAGACAGAGGAATTGACCTTTTCCAGGTTTACTAGATGCCTTTTAATTCTGATCTTAGCAGATCATTTCAGCTGGGTTTTTTTTTCTTTTGCTTGGGCACTGATTTTGTGTGTCCCTCAGTTCCCAGCAGTAATTCCTGTGCTCAGAGGAGCCCCTCTGCTGGGAGTCCAGGCTGAGGGAGTTCAGGTTGTTCAGCCTGGAGGAGAGAAGGCTCCCGGGAGCCCTTCTGGGGGCCTGGCAGGATTTCAAGGAGCCTGTCAGCAAGGAGGGGAGGGATTTTGCAGTGGCTGTTAGGACAAGACAAGGGGGGATGGTTTGGAACTCAAAGAGGGCGATTTAGACTGGAGAGAAGGGAGAAATTGTTGCTGCTGAGGGTGGTGAGCCCCTGGCCCAGGCTGCCCAGAGAGGTGGTCACTGCCCCATCCCTGGCACCATCCCAGGGGAGGTTGGCCGGGGCTCTGAGCACCCTGCTCTAGTTGGGGCTGTCCCTGCTCCCTGCAGGGGGTTGGACAAGGTGACCTTGGAAGGTCCCTTCCCACCCAGACCAGTCTGTGATTCTTTGATCCTGGTTCCCTCCTCAGAACCTCCCTCTGTGGCCAGCCAGCTCCCCCCAGAGCCCGTTGTTACAGCAGCCCAGGCAGGAGGAGAGAACTTCCCTGTCCTTGCTCACTCAGTAACTCCATTTTTGATTAACAAGACCCAGAGACTCACCAGAGGGACTTGGGGGAAGGTGTTGATACAGAATAAATCTGGAACTACAATGGGGAGCTGGGGTTTAGCTTGCTGCACTCTGCAAGGGTAAGGAAAGACCTTCAGTGGAGGAGTTTAATAAGTAGCTCTCTTCTGGGCTGTTGGAAGCCATAGGGGTAGGTGGAGCTTTGATAGGTGAAAGCCCCTCTGCTGCCATGGACTGACAGGTAGGTTCTGCACGGAGCAGCAAAGAGGCTGAAGCACCCCCTGGACCCCAGCTGTGGAGCACTGGGAGGAAGGGAACCTGCAGGTAAACATGGGTGCAGGTGGGACTGTTGGGTGTTCACTGAGGCAGTGCAGTGTGTTGGGGCTGTGGGAGCAGCCAGAGGCCACAGGCAGAATGTGGGTTTGTAGCTGCAGAGCTGCACACACGTGGGGTGTGTCACTGCTCCTGGAGCAGAGAGAAGAGGAGCAGAGAGGTGGGTTGGTTGTTCCAGAGGCTCTGGGAGGTGTGATCAACAGCCCAGTGCCTGCTGGCAGAAGAGACAAATGAGAAGTTCATTAACCTTGAAGCTGTTGTAGCAAATTGCCCATTGACAGCTGCCTGAGCTCTCATCAAAGAGTGAGCCTGAGGATTTGAAAGAAGGTTCCAGTAGCATGTCCAAGCACAGGGAGATGGGAGAAGGTGCTTGGAGAGTGAATGAGCCAAGAAGGAGTGGCCAGTTGGTTTGTTAGTGGAATGAGATGGCAAGAGTGATGTTTTAAGACACAGCAGGGATCAAGTTTGCTGTGGTGGGCTTGAGATGAAGGCTCAGGAGTTTAATTTTTATGTTGGAAAACTAGAAACCAGTGGAAGAATCTGAAGAGATGGGTTGGTAGGGAGATTGGTAAGGGAAAAGGTCTTAGGAACCCATTTTTTTGAACTTTTTATTTAACAACCTGGTTGTTGGGAAGAAAAAATTACAGAAACCAGATCTGAAAATATGGTCCTGAATGAAATACTTGGTTTCCCAGCTGCATGCTGGGGAGATTTGTGGACAGCACTCATATCTTTGCAATAACAAAGGACACCAGAGAGGAGCTGAGACATTCAGACTCAGGAGGTGAGCAGCAGTGTTCCTGAGAGTCACTGGAAGTGGGGATCAGGAGATTTTGCTTTAAGTGATCTGGGAGTTTTAATTCAGACCTACATCATTTTTTGGCTGTTCTGTGTCAGACCCATCATGCTCAGTGTGGGGCTGTGGAGGGTGGGGTGACAGCTGTAGGAAGGTTACTGGAGCAGAGCTGGTAAAGAGTCAGCATAAGGTTTATGGCTGAAGTCAGGTGAACAGATAAGGAAAAAAGGAGCATCCCAGGGGAGGAGATGCACAGAGAGCCTTCCTAGAGAGGAGTGGAAGGCAGGAGAGTGTTTATTTTCCCCACAGCTCAGATGAAGAGTGATGGATGATGATGATGATGGATGATACCACTGCAGAAATCTCCAAAGTCTCTTTCCTTTCAACGACTGTTTGGTCAGTCAGTTCCAAAGCAGCTGGGGAGGCAGTAGCTTGGTTTGACTGATGAGGAGTTTGATGTTTAACATCCAGCCACGTGCCTGGGGTGAAGACAGTAGAAATTTGAGTGGAAATGGGCTGTGGAGCTTGCAGGAGGAGCTGGGAGGTGTCATTTGCAGAGGGCCCCGTTTGCCTGCAGGCAGGAAGGGAGGTGAGGGGAGAGCTTGTGCTGGGCCAGGGACAGAGCCTGGGGACTGCTGTTGTGTCACCCCAAAGCCTGAGGGGTTATTAGTGTAAACAGTGGGGAGACTGTAAGACTAGGAAGGGGTAGGGGAGTGGGTGATTGCACTAATGGTGCTGCAGATGATGTTCCTTGTTTCCCACAGCAGTTGGGCTCTTGATTCCACGGGCAGGGTGTACACACCAATGCAAACGAGCATCTCCCAGTGCCTGGGGAGCTTGGGTGCTGCCTGTGGCTTGACTAGGAAGGAGGAGGGAAGAGCTTTCCCTTCTAGAAAGGCCTGTGTTATGCAAAGCTTCTGGAAGATCCTCTTTTGAATTCTATGATACCAAACAAGGATTTTCTTTCCCCCTTTCTACCCCTCCAGTGGCTCAATGAAGCAAAGATTATTCAGAGACTTGTGGAGCTGATCCATTCAAGCCAGGATGAGGACGTGAGTATGACAAGGATGACTTTTGTCTTTGGTGGGTCCTGTAAGGTCCAGAAGACTCTTGTATCTCCTGGACAATGCCCAGGTGACTTACTGAAGGAGAACATGAGGGATGATCTCTGTGGGTGGACATCCTGTCCCCTGCTTGCTCAACACCAAAATGTTTTGTTGTAGTTTTATTCTGATTTTGACTTATTTTACTACCAATTTCTTAGGGAATTCTGCTGCTGAGTCAGTTCATCTCAGTATTTTTTCCAAGGTTGGACCAGATCATCCCTGAGGTCCCTTCCAGCCTGGTGTTCTGTGACCCAATGGTTCAGCACCTGCAATAGGTGGTAACTTGGTTGGTTTTAAACAGGACTTGGCTATTTGAAATGGGCTGTTGAAAAACATTTAAATGAACCAATTCACTGTAAGGCTCAGCTCTTGTCAGAGGGTGAGGAAGGTGTGCAGAGGGTGAGGAAGGTGTTGAGCTGTGCAGCCAGCATGGGGCAGCTCTCAGCCCCTGACACACCCCGAGTGTTAAGGTCTGAGTGTGTTTTCCTGCAGTGATTTCCACAGGCCATCCCAGCCAGGGGCTGTAGCTCTGGAGTCTGGTTTCCTGCACACTCGTGTCCTGCTCGGGTGCTGTCCCTGGGCAGGCAGCCCCAGGGAAGGAGCCTCTGGGCCTCTGACAGGCTCTGGCTGTCCTGCTGGGACTGGTCCCAGGCAGTGCCAGCACTGGCTGAGCTGGGGGCCTGAGGCAGCCCCTAGCTACAGAGGGTCTTTGGCTGACAGCCAGAGGGAGACCATTCATTTATCAAAATACTACTTGAAAGCCTTTTAATACATAGCAATTAAATTGTAAAGGGTTTTATTGAGCCATTTCTTTTCCTTCACACAGGAAACCTGCTGAGTAGTGAGAAGGAAAAACTAAATATTTGTATTTGAAATGTGCAAGTTAGCAGTTGGTCAGGAAGAGAACAAAAAGAATCCTCACTTTCCAAATCTTTAACTGCTCTTAATTGTGAAGCTCTGGAGGACCCCTCTTTGATTTTGAAATTTGTTAATGCTTCTAATAATTCACATCAGTGTTGTCTATAACAGATAAATAATCCAGAGCATTTGAAACATTCTGGTTTATTCAGCTTCTTGCATTCCCAGCTATGTTATATTTTCTTTGAGGCCCAGAATGAGCCAGGCAGAGATGCTGGCACTGAAACATGCTCTCTGTCATTCACAGAGGCAATCAAATGCTTCCCAGACCCTGTGTGATATCATAAGATTGAGCAGAGACCAGAGCAATCAACTCCAGGATATGCCTGAGCCTGATCCCCTTCTCACAGCACTGGAATCGTAAGTACCTGTCAGAGTTCCTACCTAATCTCCACTAACATTGTCAGTGAGAGCTCTCTGGAGACACAAACTGGGTGTGTCAGGCCTTTGCTTAGCATCTGTGCCAACCATTTAATACTGCTTTGAACTTGCAGCATCACTTAACCACCTCTGAGGAGGTGTCTGGGGTTTGTAGCCCTGTCTGGGAGCAGGAGATCAGGGCTGGTGACTCTGGTTTTGGCTCCTGAGTCAAATACTGGATGTGGATTTCTTAACGTCCGTGAGCTGTGGATTGTCCTCACTGCCACAGAGATGAGGTACAGCCAGATCCTGTCTGCCTGCCCCTTCCTTAGGCTGAGTCATCAGCCTCCCTGGTTTTATTCTCCACATTCAGCTGAACCCTGAAAGAAATAATCCTGCATACTTTAAATGTCTCCCTGGTTGTTCAGAAAGTCATTCCATGTATTTGTGGTGTTGAGGCTGGATGGTGACGACTCCCATGTCCTCTCCCTGTGTGCCAGCCCATGGATCCCTTAACACACCAGAGTTGGTGCCAGCTACTTCTTTTTCCTCAAAGTCCTGTCAGCTCTGCCCATCATGAGCTCAGCATGGCTCAGACACATTGTGCAGTGCTGTAGCTGGAGATGGCAAAGACCTCATTGGTCTGATCATTTTCTACTCTGATTGGGATCTTGTCAATGTTTATCAATATCTAAAGGGCCCCGGGGGGCAAGAGGCTGGGGCCAGACTCTGCTCAGTGGTGCCCAGCCACAGGCCAAGGGGCAACGGGCACCAACTGGAACCCAGGAGGTGCCACCTGAGCAGGAGGAGAAACTTCTTTGGTGGGAGGGTGGCCGAGCCTGGAGCAGCTGCCCAGAGAGGCTGTGGAGGCTCCTGCTCTGGAGAGATCCCAAACGTGGCTGGTGTGACCCTGGGCACCCTGCTGGGGGTGAGCTGCTGGAGCAGGGGTGGGATGAGGTGATCCCCAGAGGTCCCTCCCAACACCAGCCATTCTGGGGTGCTGGGACTGGTAAATCTTGCAGACAGGATTTATAGATAAACATATTGTTGACATTTATGAGAGCTGCCAGAAGTAGACAACCTGTTTGGGTTCATAGAATCATAGTGTCTGGGCTGGAAGGGACCTCCAAAGGTCATCTAGTCCAACCCCCCCACCTTAAGCAGGGACATCTCAAACATCTCATGTTTTGTCACGTTTGCAGAAGTTCTCAGGTGAGGTATTGAAGGCTGTCTGCCACTCCTGGCTGTGGGGAGGGCACCCAGTGGCCTCAGTGCTGGGAGACTGCAGGGCTGGTTGGTGATCTCAAGACATCACCTCGTGCTGAGTGCCCCTGGTGGGCTGATGGAGCAGTTGTAGTCGTTCAGGTTTCCTGAGTTACCTTGCAGAGGTGGTGTTCTCTTAAAACAAGGCCATCAGGGGGCTGGTGATCCCAGCACTTCTGCCCAGAACCTGCTGCTCTGTGCCCAGACCACTTGAGGTGAAACTTGGAAAAGTTTTATTGGTTTGGGTTTTAAATCCAGAGGAAACTTCTCCAGTGTAACTGGGGGAATATATTGGTGAGAAACTTGCACTCTCAAAGAGCATTTTTGTTAGGAGTTATTTCCCAGATAATGTGAAGTGTGAGTGATGTCCCAGAAGATGTTGGGTGTCCAAATCCACTCTGTTGCCTTGACATTGTTTCTTTGCTCTTTGCAATGTAGTTTTAAATTATTTATGTTTGCATATTTACCACTTCTATATTTGCTTCAAACCTAAAAACATTTACTGGAGGTTCAGCATGAGATTGAAAGAAAACCAAAGCTCTTCTAGGCCTAAAGGCACTATTTTAACAGAAAAAGGGATGAAAAAAGACTTTTCATGGTTTTGTTGACCCAGAGCTTTCTTGATTTCTGTGGCACTGCTGTTT